CAAGACTCCAAGACCTTGATTTTTTTTCTTAAAAATACTTTAAAAAGGGAAATTTGTTTGCATTTTTTATTTACATTTTATATTATTAGGGTCAGTCTTTTTTTTTTTTATGCATTTATTGATCTCAGAGAGAGGAAGGTAGAGAGGAGACGTCCCTGAGGAGTCGCTGATCGGCCGCCTCCCGCCGCCCCCGGGAGGGAGCTGCGGCCCAGCCCGCGCCCGCCCGGGAACACAACCCGCCCTCCCCGATCCGAGGTCGCTGCCCCCGGCTGAGCCCCGCGGGCAGGGCGGGGTCAACCATTGTTAATCCTCGCGGTCGGACCCCACCAGCCTGTGGGGCGCTCTCCGCCCTCCTTCTGACTTCTCCAGTGGTGTGACCAACTTCATTAAAATCTCAAAGGAGGAAAAAAACCTTGTTAAACAGCAAAACAATCCTATTCGATCCTTCCAGTAACTGTGAAGCAGTTGGTTTGTGGAAGATGGTTAAAAAGGCCAAAGATAAAAGGTTTCTTTTTTTCCCCCTTTCTGTCTATGAAGTTGCTGTTTATTTTTATTATTATTATTTTTTGGCCTGTTTGATTTATGTGTGAAACAATGTTGTCCAACAGTAAACTGGAATTTTAATTTGTTGAGTTCTAGCAAAAACAACAGTTGCTCATAGGGGAGGGACAATTTTCTGAAGTGATTAAAATGTTTCATATCTTAATTGGGGTGTTGATTATATTTTCAAAACTAATCAATTACACATTTAAGAGCATTTCACTGTATATCAATGTCATCTTTTAAAAAAGCCCCTGAACTATCTTCACAAAAGCCATGCTCAACACACACACAAAACATAAACACACATACTCATATTAAACATCAGACGGAAAAAATGAAAATCTAATTATCAGTGAGTATGTGAAACAACCGGAACTTGTATTCTCTGCTTGTGGGAGTGTAAACAAGCTGACAATATTTGATACAGGTGAATGCGTGCATATGATCCAGCAATTCCACCACTACCTATGTACCTCCCGCAAATCACATGCAAACAAGTACTGTATATTCAAGGTAGTATTGTCTGTAGTAGTTATAAATCAGAAGTCACCAACAAGAAAATGGATATATAAATTGTGCGTCACCCATACAACCGAGTATCAAACAGCAGCAAAAATGAAAAGAGCAGAGGTACTCCCATCATTTGTTTCTGAGCAGAGCTACTCAGCAACAGACTATGGAGTGGGAAAAAAGACAATGCAGAAATATACATTGCATGATACCATTTATATAAAACTTGAAAATATAAAACCTCAATTCAATAAACTTCCTATGCATGTATGCATAAATAGGAATGGTATGAAAACATGAATGAATAATAAGTATTGAATTCAGGATAGTGGTTCTCTCTGGGGAGGGAAAGAGGTGCCCAGGGGCTCCATCTTTATTTATAATTTTTATTTTAAAAATTTGAAGCAAATGTGGAAAAATATTAATATCTCTTGTGCTCAGTGGTGGATACAGGGTATTTATTTGAGATGCTAATCTACATGCATTTCTGCAGGTTGAAATATTTCAAGATAAACAAAGAGAAGTCAACTCTCTGACAACTCAAGCTTAGAGAGACTGGTTAAGGAATTAATAGTTTTATTGTCTCCTGAAGAAAACTGAAGCTATCCCACTGCCCAAGGAGTATAGGAGCCATTTATTCCTTGGAGCTTTGGGCATATTTTAGCTCATTTATTTATTCTTATCCTCTTTCTACAAAGGATTTAAGGTAGCTTGCAACAGAAGACACATACAGTGAGCCGGGAAAACATAAACATAAGTAGAAAATCAGGATCAGAGATAACAAATATTCCATCAATACTAGTTAACCACAGTTGCTGTGATCAAGTTTCAAACTTGGCTCTGAACTTCTTGGCAACAGTAACCATTCCATCTCCAGCTGACCCATAAAAGCAGGTTAGGAGAACTAACCTTTGTTCTTCAGAATTTAAACTTAGTATTTTCCTGAGCAGTCTTTCTGTATTCTATTTTGCATTGCTAATTAGCCACGTTCTTCTTTCCCTTGCTCTTTTGTCCCCCTCCCTCCGTCCCTCCCTCCCTCCCCTCTCTTCCTTCTTCCTTTTCATTCTTTCATTTATTTTACCCAAATGCCAGGTCCTTAAGACTGGCGGTAGTTACGAATGCAGGCTCTATTTACTATTTGTTGGCTGAAATACTCTTGGGTGAGGTGTTTAACTTCTCTTCGTCTCAGTTTTCTAATGTTCAAACAGGGATATCTATCATACGTTTATCACAGTGTTAGGAGATTAAGTGAAATAATGCATGTGAAAAGCTTTGAATGATGCTAGTCACTGCTCAATAACTCTTAACTGTTATTATTATTACTATGATTAGTAATCATAGATTACTGTATTAGTTATGATTATGATTACTCAGTGGAGGAGAGTATGTATCACAGTGTATTTTGTGCCCCAGTCAGGAATCAATCAGGAGCAGGGTAAGGCTTCACTTTCTCACATGCAGGACCAGCAATGGCGTGAAGCTCAGGAAGTGGGAACTGACTCAGTTGCACAGTTAACCAGCTTCAGATCCAACAGCACACTTAGCAGCCATCCCCAGATCTAGCACCACACTTAACCATCCAGCTGCTGCACCAGAATATGAGGGATACTGGACATTCCTGCTTCTGAGGCAAACACAACATTCTGTTTCTGCCTGAGATTCCTTTTGGAGAAAAGCAATCCTTCAGCACACACTGGCCTGGATAGCCTCAGACCATGGGATGTGCATCTCTCCCCTTCCTGAAGACCCAGAGAAAGCCCAAATAGAGAGGACAACTTATTCCAGGGGTCGCCACTACCTACCTAGGACCCTCACTTGATTCCAGGCCCAGCAGACCTGTGTCCTTTCATCAATCAGTATGGGGCAGAGGGGGCAGACAAGAGGGAGCTCAGGTGCAAAGGGATGAGAGACCAAGTGACTAAGGCTGGGGCATAGGAGGTTTGGTTTCAGGAACATGACAGACACCCTATTACTAGGCCTGAAGCAGAGGATCTAGGTACAGCCAGCAGTTTCTGTGGGCTTGCTCTAGGTCATTGAGCGCAGACTTAGGGCTCCTTAATACCCCAAAGAGCGGAGGGTCAGGAGCTCACAAACATGTGAGGGTCAAGTCTGGTTAGCATCAGGGATGAGAGGGTTGAGGGATGAGAGGGTTGAGGGAGGAGAGGCAGGGTTCAGGAAGCGAGACAGATTATTAAACAGCCAGGCCACTCACCTGCAAAGCCTGGAGCAAGCGACAGTCCCACCCTGCTGCGGAGTCACAGGTCTTGCCTTCCTGCTCACCAGAAGCCCACAGACATAATATTCTTGTCCTGCTCTCAACATCGCCCTCAAGGTGGGATCTTATTTCTATACCAAACAAGATATAAACCCAAGAGAGAGCACCCTTTACTAGCCAGATGAGGGGTCCATGTTTCAACTTAGAGACTGCAAGATCATCTAGAAACACTAGTAGCTTTTCCCATCCTGGGGCATCAATTCTCTGGTTCAACTTGTACCTAGAAGAACAGGAGCTCCATTTATTGCCTGTTCACCGTGTGCTGGGCAGTATAACAAATGCCTTAAGTGCATTACGTCTCATTTGATCCTCACAGCAATATTCCGAAGTGGGTACTGTTTTGATGAAACTGAGGTTCAGATTGGTCGGAAACTATCAAGATGGGAGCTCAAGGGCCAAGATACAAACCAAGGGCAGTGTGAGTTAAAAAGCCACGTTCTGAAACATGATGTTAACCTCCCAAACCTGGGCACCCCTTTCTGGGGGAGGATGACCACGAGCTCTCATAGATGTGGGGCCTTTCTCGGAGCTGCAGGAGCAGCCTACCTGCTTCCTCCCAGCATTTCTGTAGGACTTTCTTGTCCTCTTTCATTCTTGTTCACATATTGCTGGTCCTGCTGCCAGGTAACAGCTGCCAGACAGAACGCGAGCAAGTCTGAGAAGTCCTGTTTGCTGACCCGTGAGACTCTTCCGAAGCTGTCCCACCTCTAGCTGTGGGAATGCACTCCAGCCAGCCTGAGCAGCAGGAACTAGGACGAACCCCAGCTTACACCCTGTTTACCTGCTTGATCTTTAAATGGAATTAGAAAAATTAGAACCTTTCACCCGTAAATCCCTAATACTTCTGAGGTACAGGTACACAAGCCTGCCTGAGAAAAGAGCCCAAGAATAGCTAGCCACAGAGGGAAACACCTTTCAGAGAAGCCGACTTACTGCATTCTACATTCACCAGGATCCCTAAAGACAAAGCCCAGTTTGGACTCATTTTCCTATTTTCTGCCCACAGTGACCCTCAGAATCTCCTGAGGTGCCCAGGGGGTGCGCCCCTAGGAGACCGGGCTCCGACTCAGCTAAAGAGGAACATACAATAAAACGACAATTCTGACTGGAATAATGAGGCAAACACGCTTAGTTTATTAATTTAGTAAGTTTAATAATAAACTTATACAAAAGAACATATATTTGGCTTTGAAATCATGACATAAAATAAAAAGGCAAATAACTGGAAATTATCGGTTGAAAGACTGTAGAAGCAACTCATGCTGAACCCTGAGCAAACTGTGCTTTTGGCTACAGCGGGGCGCCAAAGCAAGAACAAAGGTGCAGTGCTATCCCCAGGCCCAAGCTGGCTCTAAATACTGCTGAGTTCCCTAAGGTTGTCTGGTCATCATGGGAAACCAGGCCTGCCTGCTCTCAACTCCTTCCCTTCCTAACCTTGAACTACGAGAGCAGGCATTAATGACGATGCGTCCCAGTTTGTAGGACAGTGTTGGTGTTGCCTTAACTTGTTTGAACTACATGTTTTCAACCTTCAAGAACATAAAACTGCTAAAATCAACTATAAGTCATTTCTCTTTTTGGTCAGTTATCTGCTGTAGGCAAAGCTTCATATAGGAATTTTTGTTGCGAGTTTCTATGACTGCGTCCCTAACAAGCTCGATGAACATCTGTGGCCAGAGCTTCTGCAAAGCCTCTTTCTTCATGTTGATTTCCGTGGCTTCCTTCACAAGGTCCTCTATATAAATCTTGCAGAATTTCTTTTTTTCCTTTGTTTCCTGTTTAAGAAAGAACAATTTGCACTGAATCATAATTCATTCAAAAGCCAGAGCAACACTGAGCTGAACCAGAGAAACTTGAAATAATCTGCTCTGACCGCACTTGTCAGAGCAGTAACACTTGCCTGGACAGTCTGGACACAGAGCTGCGCTCCAGAAAAGACAGCCAGAGGGAGCTCCCTGCGGCCCAGCTGACTCTGACCTCTGCTGCACAGCTCTGTGAGAAAATGTGTTTCTCCACTGGAATCGCTGGATCAAAACTACTATTTCCCCCTTGGTAGACATTCTCCTTTCTCAGTCCAGGTAGTTTAGCTCACACAAATCAGCTGAATACACAGATTCACAGCTTCTAGTGATAAATTTATCAGAATACTGACTGACAATCTTAATTGGTATCCATACAGATACCTTAACCATACTCTAAATTCACTATTTTAGGAAAGCACGTCGTGTACATTACACTGACTTATGTGACATAGACCATTTGGACAAAGTTGGGGAAAAGTAGATAAGGAAGGAGAGGAAATAATACAAGCCTGGGACCCAGAGGTTGGCCTTCAAAAGAAACAGTAATAAGCCAGTCAGAGAAAAACAAATATCATATGATCTCACTTATATGTGGAATCTAATGAACAAAATAAACTGACAAACAAAATAGAAACAGAAGCATGGATACAAGGAACAGACTGACAGAGCTCAGAGAGAAGGGGGTGCAAGAAGGCGAAGGGATTAGCCAAAGAACATATATGCATAGCCCGTGGACCAGACAACAGTGTGGCGATGGCCCGAGGGAAGAGGGGCGGGGGCTGAGCAAAGGGGG